TATTTAACTAGATATTCAATATATATTCGAGGATTTGTTTTATATTATTTTATTTATACTCCAATCTTACATTCCTTATTCAAAAAATATGCTTAGTATTTATATCTATAGATTGAATTTTAATTAGATTAAAGATTATCAGTAATTTTAATAATAAATACCGGATTACCTTCCTTAAAATATAATTAAAATTATTTATCTAATACTTAATTAAATAATTTGAATAATCTTGTTTTCAAAGGATTAATATTATAAAGATAAATAGTAGTTATTATAGCTTCTATTTAAAGCTTAATTGATAATTTTGTAAAAAGATGTATTTTGATTTGTTTAATTATTAATTCTTACCCTGCTTGCTTAGCTCCTCCATTAATTTCATAAATATAATTAGAAAAAAGTTTAAGCTCAATTCTTTTAATATTAATTTATTTTTCAAATATTATATAACTTATAATTCTAATAATAAAGATATCATTGTTTTGCTTAATTATTATAATCGAAAGTTTATATTTCCTATAAATCCAGATAAAAAAACTTTGAATAATCAAGAATACCTTATTATAAATCCTTTTTATTAAGAAATAACTAAATAGCTTTCTGCTATATATTTTTTTAATAATCAATAGCCATATTATTTTATTGAATATATAAGGGAAATTAAATAAATCCCATTATATCTTATAGAAAGATTTAAATAATTAATAATTACTAAAAGCTCAGGAAATCATTTATTTTATATATATATATATGTAATTAGAGTATTCTTATCTTAAAGAATCTTTAATCTTTATTTTTTTCATAATAAATATTAAGTGTTTGAATACTTTTTTTTTAAGATATTTAATTTTTTTATATTACAATTCTATTTGATTTTTTCTTAAAATTAAAATATTCCTTAAATATTTAAAGAATTTATTAATTTTATAAAAAATAATAGAATATATAAGATTATAGTTAAAGATTAGAATAAAAAAATAAAAGAAAAAAGGCTTTAATTCTAAAAATACAAAATTATTATATCTAATATATTAAATATATATCTCATTCTTCATTATATCTTCAAAATGAAAAGTTATATTAAAATTATTAAATTATAAACCTAATTTATACAATTATATTTCGGAAACAATATTTATATAAAAATTAGAAATTAAAGTGATATCTATAAAGATTAGATCTTTTTTGTTAAAAATATCTTTCATTATTTTCTAACCTTTTCTAATTATTTAATAAAAGATTAATTCTAAATTTATTTAATTATTCTTGAAGGATTAATAATAAGATTAGTTATTTAGTAAAAAGATATTATTAATAATATACAATACTCTATAATTATCAAAAAAAATAGAATAATAAAATTTGAATTCTGATTTTGAAATCGAGTTAATTACAAACACTTTTAACATTATAACATCTAGGAATTTGTTTAGTATCTTTGCAATAGATAAAATAATATCCAAAAATAATCCTTTTATCCAATTCTTACTCCTAAAAGTATTATATAAATACTTGAATTTGTTTATAATCCTTTATCTGATCTTTCTGATTTGTTTTATTATAAATATTAGACCTAAACGATTATTATATTTCTTAATCAAAACAATTTTCATTTTATTACAATCTTCAGGATTCTATTTATAAGAATATTAACTTAGTTTATTTTTTTTTAGATATATAAGGATACTTTACTTTTTTAATATTTTTATTAAAATAGGAAACCTTGAATTGATTATAATTAATTATTTTAATTAGAATAATTAGCTTGAACTATTTAATAGTATAGATTCCTTTTGTTTTCAGTAATATAGCATTATAACTGATAATACCCCCAAATATTATAGTTATTTGTTGAAGTATTTAATATTTCTAGCCTAAATGAATCTTTTTATCAATTTTATTAATCTTATATTAAATTCAAAAAGATATTATTTTAATCCCAATAGTATTAAGGAAAATACAAATAGCTAATAGTTTATCAATATCTAGAAGCTTGTATATAAATACTTTTAAATAAACAATATTCTAATCCTAATATTATTTTATCAAATCAATTTATTTATTTGATATCTAAGCAATTAATATATAATATTTAAATTGAATTGTTATTTTGATAATTTGGTTGGATAGTATTAATTTGTTATAGAGTGAGAGTATTATCTTGTAAAGTAGTTGAGCCTTTGATTTTTTATTCGATAAGAATAATTCTATAAAATAAGTTGGATTAATAATTAATTAGATTTATTTATAAACTTATTGATAGGATTTATACTTATTATTATATATCATTTTCTTATTACAATATGATTTGTTATAAATAATAAACAAAATAATTATATTAAGTTTAAATATAAATACAAACTTCATTAATAATAAAGAAATAGATAAGTAATCAATTGATTTCTTTATTTCTATATCTTTATTTTTGCTTTTTTGTTTTGAGTATTTGGTATAGTATTTAGATAGCTTTGTTTTATAAGTGTAGTATTTGATTCTATTTTGTTTTTAATGAATATTTTTAAGAATTGAAGGAATAGGAGGAGATGTGGTTAGTTAATTGATTATTTTGAATAATGATTTCAAGAAGAGAGAGGATAAAGAGTAAGTTATAGGTAGAAGTTCAGAATCAATTTTATTCTAAATATTTTTTAATTGATATTTAATTCTTAAAGTATTATATTAGGCTGATTAATTAGATTAAATGGTAAGGTATATTGAAGGATATATATATTGTATAAATATAATTGATTCAGATATTTGAATAGTGAAAATTTGGATTTTCCGATATAGATTGTGATATACCCACTTTTGATTATAAGAATAATCTATAATAAAATAGCAATAATTAAATGTATATTGGGCTTATAATTATTATACAAGATAATAGTATATTATAATAGAGTATAAGTAATTGGATAATAATAATATAAAATGAAAAAGGGTGTATATATTGAATTATATTAAACTAAAATTCTGATTTTTTTTTTATAAAAGAAAAAAGGATTACATATTATATAACTATTGAATATCAATCACAGGAATGGTAATCAGATTGCAATCCGATCTGGTTAACACTATTCCGTTTCAGAGTATTCTATATATTGTATCTCTGATTATTATATGATCTGATCCATGTAGTCTAGATACCAGAGTGAATACTACAGCCCCCTCTAGCGTGGTTTTTAGCTTTCTAGCACCTTAAATAGCTTCAATCTTTCATAGGAAATACAATCAAGCTTTTCACCCCCTTCAATACGTATTTAGCCTCTTTTCTAGTCTACAACACGGTTTCCGTCACAATTCTGAAATTATATCAATATTAAATTCTAATAGTATAAAAGAGTAGAAGGTGGTAAGGTTATAAAGTAGTTCTTCGTAAATACTATAAATAAGTCACTAAGATATAGCGCCTCCAGTAAAAAAAAAGAGGAGTAGATACTATATAGCGTATTACAAAGTATACGAAAAAGTGGATAGGAATTGATTACTTTTCTCTAAACTATACAAAGAAGACCTATAAATACTAGCTACAGAAAGAGGTCACGTGACCAGTACCAAGTTTCGCCCACAATAGTTTTTAAAACAAAGGTTTATAAGAATTAATTATTAATAAAATAATGAATTTATAATATTTAATTTTATTTTTAAATTGCATAATAATAGTAATCTTTAAAATATATATAAATATATTAAAATTTATGATTTATTAATATTATATTTAATTAAAGATTTAAAAATAAATATTAAGAATTTAATTTGATATAATATTAATTATAATATGAGCTTTTATTAATTATTATTAAAAATTTGATTTCTATAATCTTCAATTATATATATTTCATTTAATATTAAAGAAAAAAGTTATATCAATTGATTTTTGATTTAATAAGAAATTTAAATATCTGAATTTTCAGGATTTATTGATATTAAAATGATTTCTATTTAGATTTTCTTTTTTTAAAAATTAATTTAATAATATTTTGAATTAGGGAAAACCTTTTTTTTTGAGATTTTTTATATTAAAATAATAATTTTATAATTAGAATTTCGTTATATATTACAAAATCAAGATTTAAATAATTTCAAAAATAGAATTTTAAAAATAAAAGATTTATTTAAATAATTTCTTTTGATTAATCTAAAATTTATATATTTTAATATTCAATATAACTTATTTCAAAAAAATTATAATATCAAAAATTTTAATATTTAATATAAAAATTTAAATTTGTTTTAAAATTCATTTTTAAAAAAATTTCAAAATAATAAAAACAATTAGAAAATCTAATAATCTTTATTAAAACTAATTTTATTACTTTTTGGATTTTTTTGATTTCCCTATAAATAATTAATATCAAAAAATTTATTTAAATATTTTCTAACTCTATAAATAGATTTTAATATATTTTTTATTGAAAATTTATATATTAGAATTATATTTTTCTTTTATTTTATTACTCAATCGATTTTTATTTCAACAATTTGAAATTCTAAAAAATCAAAATAAATAATATCATTTAATTCTAGAACTAAATTTTATTTTATTTTAATAATTTTTGAATTTTAAATTGATTTTTATTTTGATTGAAGAAAACGTACACATAGTAGGGGCGTGCACGTAGCAGGGATATCGGTTACTCTGTTCCGAGTAAATGGTAATATGAAGGCGATGGATATTTCTGGTACTTATCTACTGGAAATCCAAATGAGAGCAGAGAGGGTGCTATTCATTCACCGATATTGTTGGCCAAGTCTTGCTTCGTGATGATGGTTTAGTAACCAAAAGCATGATTGTGGTCCAAAAGACTCGAATCATCTATTCCATCAACCATTTCTTCATGCGTTCTTTTGCTGACAATATTCATATCCGAGGGGAACAGACTGTCCAAATGCTTCTTGTACTTCTTAAACACTGCACATCAGGATATTGACTCTCTGCAATCAAAGACCATGCTTTCATTTCATGGCAACCTGTCCGTCCATCCTTTAACCCCCCGGCTTCCTCACCAACAAACTCCAAGCACCAGATCCAATCCCCTCCCTACCCCAAATGCAACCACAAACACATATCCCAGTACCCCTATCTCAATAAATCCATCACTAGCGACAATCTTCTTCATCCATTTCGAGCAGGTATCATCCGAATCCTTGACAATCGTATATAGACTTGATTTCACGGCGATAAAAGCATATGCAACTGCGCACATAAATACACACACAGCAAAGAACAGAGCAAATGTAAGAAGAATTGGACGTATGAGGTGTGGAATCGCGAGGAGGATCTCTTGCGTACCTGGAGCCTTAATAAGTAAGGGATCAAATTGGAATTAAATGACGGAAAAAACATACCAAGAAGCAGATGGTCTATTCCGACTATTGTTGATGTCATGGTTGGTAGATCGTTACGTTGCTGAGCTAACTCGTGCTTTTCCTAGAAACTTCTCAAAGAATCCCCCTCCCTACTGACCACAATGTCCAAGATTTCGAGGGAGTTTGTCGTTGAAGCAACTTCGAGGTCGTAAGCTTCTGATATTTTGTTCGCAGAACTCGGCTTCGATGACGTTTAGACTTAGAGGTTACAAGGGAACCCCGTACAAAAATGGGAAGTTTCTGTTTTCTCGTGGATTCCGATATCAGAAGCGCAAGGACAGACTGAGGGAAGAATAATCTGAAAATTTCAACAGCTACCTTCGTTATTATGAATCTCCAAAATATGGTTTATCGGAGCCTCTGTGCGTTTTTTTTTTAGCTATCAACTAACTAGTAGCTGTCGGCCAGGAACTTCCCACACAGAGGAATGTTTCACACACATCATGCACCGGAATCAGATGAAGTAAAGTCGCCGTCTTTCGATTTTCACATTGTACTACAAACGTAGATAGCACGCACTATCGTCCATTTAGTAAGCTCGAAACTGACAATTGGGTAGGAAGGAGCGACATGTCAGTGATGATCTCAATTGGAGATGGCTTCTGCGTGAGACACGACAGATATCCAGATAACTCTTGTTGCACACCGACAATCCCAATAAACAAATAAAGTATATCGAAATTGAATTCCATCTAAATTTCTGCTAGTGATAGGAGGATGAGTGACTATTCCAGTTGCATCCATTCAACAAACACAATCTACCTAGGTACCGATAGATTGCTATGCACGGACTTTACATTTCTCCCTAGCCCCTTCATTATCAGCCTCCGATAATACAGTTGTAAGCTGCAACATGATTAAAAGTCGATTTGAACTAACAAGGAGTCGGTAAATATCATCGTGATAGCTAGCGGATCTGGAGACGGATTTTGTGTTGCAAATATTCTGGGTCCCAGGAATCTATGCTTAAAATTTTTGTCTCATGTATCTTACAATGTCAGCATGGCACAGGCCTAGCGGGAGGGGTTGTCGGATCACTGCCGAATCCACGGCATGAAATCGGGGAACTCGATCATCACAATTGAAATGAATGGAAGAGCATTTCAAAATCGGAGAGAGTATGAGATGAAGAAGATATCATGAGCGAAGTATGAGAATTGATTGAGGTTCATCCATAACACATGGCTGGTACTCCCAACATATTCTTGGAAGAGAAACGCTAATCAATTGCAAACACCACCTCATATGTTGTCAGTAAACCATTGATCCATTGATCCAACCCAACCCAACCCTTAGCTTTAATACATGTGTTCATATCCTATATATAAGCTGCATATTCCGGTCTGTTCCTGACTCCAGCTCCTCTCAAGCATTCCAGTCCGCCTTTTAGCACCTGTTCTTCTCCATTCATCCCTTAACATCATCATCCACAAGCCATTCAACCAAGTTGTCCCCCCCTTCATGATTCCTTTCTGTCAGTAGAAGCTTCAAGCTTGATAATAGCAAAGTGGAATAGAAATAGCTAGCTTAAATGCCCTGTCGTAGTAGACCTAGCTCTCAAACAATTTATAGGGCTCGAAATCAACCCTAGATGACTGATCACATTTGTGTTCGTCTCTCTATGCTTCCTTTTTTCGATGAAGAACATTGTGCTGATGGAACAGATCTACAGGAATCCCCCTCCTTTCCATTACCCCGAAATCGTCGTCGCCAACTTTTCGCAGGTTGTTTTTGTTCAAATTAAGTACCTGATCTTGGTCAAAGTTGCACCGTGTCATTACCTCTTCATCGTTGGTTGATGCAGAGAGAAGATTTCTCCCAGGCTTCTCTCCGTTCTCCCTACCCCTCTTCGTGCTCATCTCTTGCGTTTCATTAAGTGCAATTTCAATATCGTTCACTCGTTCCTTGTGATTTTCGATTATTAGGGTACCTCTCCTGATTAATTGAAGCATTTACGTTCTCACGCTCTTCTCTCCTTGCCCCTTCTGTACTTTCTGTCTCAGTGTACGTTAGGTCATCACTCAAATAATCCAAATTATCACTTGACCGCGTAACATGCGGATCTACGAGATCGTAGTAGAGTCCGGAGAATTTTGTTGCGTTGGCCATCTGCAATATTTCTCGCGATCGCTCAAATTTACAAACACTACTAATCTCGCGTGGCATGACATGATGCATGGTGATAGCTGGCTGAAACCAGTGCTTTTGTGAGCCATAAGGAAGTGTAGGAGGTTGGTAATCGTTGGTAAAGGGACAGACCCGGTAAGATTAACACAGTACTCACAAAGTGCCTTTGCTAAGGCAACATCTCTACAGCCTGAATTTGTTAGTATCGTTGGTAAATATGAAGATATCTATGCTTGTTTAATCTTGAATTCATGAAATACTACAAGATGAATGCGCATGCATATAGAAATCGGAAGACTCCCACATTCACTATCAATATTATTGTTCCGGTTTGTAGCCAGACCCTTTTGTTGTCCTGGCCTCAGCAACATGTTCACGGCAGCGTTTGAATTAACGTACCCATTTTCGCCATGAGCGAAATGTTTCCTCATGCATAAACCCGACACCAAGATAGAGAACTCTGGAAGAGTCGAGTTTCTTAAGTCACTGAGGTAGAAAGTTTCCGGGCAATTCATTCAATGATAAGTGAAGGGAAGGCTGTTGAGTAATCGAGAGTAATCGAATTCGACCAGATGGCATAACTATCCGTCTTACTGAAAAGACATCATTTTGCAACCAGTCTCGAATGGGCCCTTTTAATACATGAATAAACTTGTACTTGGATAGTCTCAATCTCCATGTACCCTCCCTCTTTTTCCTTTCTTTCAACTCCGCGTTCTCTTATCCAAGTAGTTCGATGTCGTTGATTGCCGCGGTGGATCTCGCGAATATCCCGACCAATTGCTTTGCTATTTACGCATCATAAATTACAAATGCCCCGATGCTTCTGTGTGAACCAAAGAAGAACAATATACATCTCTTGGAAATGTCTGAGCATAGTTCCTAGATGGATGGCCAATTGTGGAACTTCCTAAGCACTTGTTCTAAATACTACCACGATTCCTTGTTCGCACAGCTCATCCATAGCCTCTTGACCAAGAGACTCAAAGTCCTTGGTAAACGGAGCATCTTCCGCAAAAGAAACGGGAGACTAAAGCGCCGGTTGTTCGAATTTTCGGTAGGCCAGCGACTTGTTCTGGACGTGAAAATCCCGGTGGTTTTTGGGCAATTTTGCGTGGACGTGTTCCCAGTGGAAGATTTGTTCTTCAATAAAACAGCTGGTTCCTGACTTGGAAGTATAATTTTGATTATTACGCGGCGATTGAAGGTAAAATATGCATGATACGAGAACAATTAGATTGCGCCGCGGCATCCCTCGAAGTAAGGATTTAGTGACGGTAAAAAGTGGATGAGTGGCAGAATTGCAGAATTGAAATAGGAGTTATAAGTAGAAGTTAATGAGCACGAGGCGCATTGATGCATGAAATGTTGTCCCCAGCAAGGAGGGGGCTTCTTGGTGAAGATGCTGTCAAGAAAGGAGATATTGTATTCCAACCAGTCCCCGGCCTTTCATGATATTTTGATTTTGAGGTTTTAGTGAATTTCAGAAGGCAAGTGACCATCTTGAAATACAAACGAAGTATATGACGTGCGCAAAGTCCCCCCAAAAATAATATCGAAATGGAGTGGAAATGGAGAGAACATCATATGGCAGGATGTTTAGCCCAGAGTTGGACGAATCTATTCCCCAGGGATGCCAATTACTTCAAAAATTTGTTTAATTTGAACCTTGCTCTACTTACAACATGCAATTTAGCTAATGTGAGAGATTGACAATTGTTGAAAACATCATAAGCCGCGAAAACTTATGAACTTTCAAGTTTTTCCATGGCACTAGTGGCAAAATTCCAGGACTGCCATTCCCCTTCAGGTAATTTGCCCCTCAAGGGCAATCTTCCACCTTCCAAATTTCCTATACCTAAAGTTCGATAAACCCCTTCCTTGATCCCGATTATTCCCCATCTCACAACAAATTCCTCTGCGCGGCTCACGGAGAACTGAAGCGACAGCAACTCTTGCAACTCTGCAGATTCAACAGGACGCCTTTTCGCAAGTTCAAAAAGGCGTGCAACTGTTCGAGGATAAATTGCGGCAAGCCCATCAATCACACCGGCCGCGCCGAATTGTACAATAGGGCCAAGCTGTTGGCCGAACCCGCTGAATACGCGGAAGTTTTCGTGATTGATATCTGGCGTCAAGGAGACTTGCAGGTGATGTGAAACATTTCCATGGGACATTTTGCACCCAACGATATTGGGATGAGCAGCGAGCTCCGTATAAGTCTCGAGACTTATTGTGACGTTGTTTGTGACTCCAGGATAATGATAGCTGCAGAGGTAGCGAATTAGATTTGTATGACGACACGAGAGAGACATGGACATTACATTAATATTGGAATAGGACTAGCATCTGCCACGATCTTGTACCATTCTTTAATGTTCTCTTGGTTCGCAGCAGGACCGAAATATCCAGGTGCAAGAACAAGACCCCATTGTGCTCCAGCTTCCTTTGCATCGGCCAACCACTCTAATGCTTCATTTAAAGAATTAGTTAGCACGCCTGCCATAATTGGGTATTCTGAGAAGCCTGCGGAGGTAAGTCCATTTCGAACACCAGCTATCAATTCGGATCGTTCGGCGCGTGAAAGATGAATGGCTTCTCCTGTGCTCCCAAGAAGCACCAGTCCACGTATTCCATTCTTCGCAAGGTGAACACTATGTTGAACCTGAGTTGAAACATCTACTGCTGCTTGGTTTGTAGAGAGAGGTGTTGTTGATGGCTTAAAAAAGGTCGGGACGGGAACAAAAACTCCCTCGGGAGGTACTTCACGGTGATTAGTCATCACTACTTGATTGCAAGAAATTCCTCAACAAACTCGACTTGAATGTATGAGGATTTGCGCCTCCCTTTTATCAGAGGTTCAATGTCAGACTGATTTATCTTATTAATCGTATCATTCGATTATGATCAGGTACGGAACTGCAGATGTTCTTTATCCACCAATGCCCACGGAAAAGTATACCCAGGCTACCTGGCTACGGATAAGTCGAAAAGACATCATTGATGCAAAGGTTATTGATGTATCCACAGTAACTCTGATTTGCCTTTAAAACCCCGAGTACCCGCCAATGTTCCAATAAACAGTACCAGCAGATATTCTCGCGATTTAATTTCACCATGGCCCTCAATCGCTCCGTCAAGTTGAACTCAGGATACAGCATTCCAGTGGTTGGTTTAGGGACGTGGCAATCAAAACCAAATGAAGTCAAGGAGGCTGTTGCGCATGCACTGAAAACAGGATACCGCCATATCGATGCAGCAGCTGTATACGGGAACGAGACGGAAGTGGGAGAAGGAATCAAAGCATCAGGGGTAGACAGGAAAGACATATTTGTGAGTGCTGACACCTTACTTCTTTACTGATTGTGTGCTGATTGAAAAATATTTAGGTTACGGGCAAATTGTGGAATACAGATCACAAGCCTGAAGATGTTGAAGCCGCGCTCGATTCATCTTTACGAGACCTTCAGACTGATTATCTTGACCTTTATCTGATCCACTGGCCAGTTGCTTTTCCGCAGTCCAAGGAACGATTTCCGGTTGACCCCAAAACAGAGGAAATCATCGTAATCGATGTTCCAATTAAAGACACGTGGGCAGCCTTGGAAGACCTTGTCGAAAAAGGAAAGATTAGAAGTATCGGAGTTAGCAACTTCACCAGAGAGAAGGTCGAAGCGTTGTTAGAAACTGCAAAAATTCCGCCGGCAGTCAATCAGATTGAGGCACACCCTTATTTGCAACAACCGGACTTGTTGAATTGGCACAAGTCCCAGAATATCGCAGTGGCCGCCTACAGTCCTCTTGGAAACAATATTTACAACTTGCCAAGAGGCGTAGATGACCCCACGGTGATCTCCCTCGCGAAAAGTTTGGGAAAGCAGCCAGCGCAACTACTTATCAGCTGGGCTGTTCAGAGAGGCACTATTGTTCTTCCAAAATCCGTTACACCAGAGCGTATAAACGATAATTTCCAAGGTTAGTGACACCTCCATGCTCAGTATCTATAAGTTTGCTAAGCTAATTCCACTGTTAGACTTTGAATTGCCAGATGATGCGTTCCAGAAGATATGTTCTTTGGACCGAAACCATCGATATAATTTCCCAGCACGGCTCGGAGTGGATATCTTTGGCGAGGTCAGCCCAGAAAGTTTGAGAAAGAGTGTCGAAGATTGGAAAGAATCTCAACGGAAGTTGCGCGCCGCATGAACACTATGCTAGTTATTGTTGAATAGTAAAATAAGACATCTTAATTTGCCATATCTTGCAATAAAACTACCCGCTGATGACCGGATGTCAAATTTGTGGATGCAATACTTACCCGGGATCATCAGATCTACTGCATCTTTACCCCACCCTATTTCCGGCCTTCGGGTCTTCGGAATTGGACAGTTATTCATCTGAGACCACATATAGTTCTGACTTGCACGCCCAAAGTTACACATTGATCACAGATTTCATAATGCCGGAAATAGCATCTATCGAATACTTTCGTGTACCACCTCGATGGCTCTTTGTAAAAATCACAGACAAAGGTGGCAATGTAGGTTGGGGCGAAGCCTCTCTTGAGGGTCATACCCAAGCCGTTGAAGGTTGTTTAGACGCTTATATCGCAAGATACACGGGAATGGAAGCTGAGTATGTGGACTTAAGATGTCGTATTAGTACATCTAATAAATAGTTGTAGTGATATCGAACATATATGGCAAATGTCTTGGAGAAGTGGATTCTATCGTGGAGGCCCGGTTCTCATGAGCGCATTATCCGGAATCGATATTGCTTTGTGGGATTTGAAAGGTATGCTTCACCAATCCATCCAGGTACTCGAACTGATTGTTTCTCCAGCTAGAAGGTTAAATGTACCCATCTATCAGTTACTGGGTGGAAAAGTCAGGGACAAGATAAAGGTATACGCATGGATTGGTGGAGATAGACCTTCTGATATTGCCAGCCAAGCGTATGTTATCCCAAGCCTCTACGGACAGAAATTAACAAGAGTAGTCAGGCTAGAAAAGACCAAGGATTTACAGCAGTCAAAATGAATGGTACAGAGGATCTCGGATGGTTTGATTCGCCATCTGCCCTGGATGGCTGTATAGAACGAGTGAAAGCTGTCAAAGAGCTTGGAATGGATGTTGGAGTTGACTTTCATGGTAGAGTTCACAAGCCAATGGCCAAGCAGCTAGCAAAGGCTCTGGAACCACATCGACCAATGTTCCTGGAAGAGCCACTGCTTTCAGAACACATTGGGGGCATCAAAGATCTTTCGCAACTAACAAGCACCCCAATTGCCCTGGGTGAACGTCTCCATAGTCGATGGGATATTCGACCATTCCTTGAAGCTGGTGCTATAGATATTTTACAGCCAGACATTAGTCATTGTGGTGGGATCAGTGAGATGAAACGCATCGCCTCTATGGCCGAGACTTATGACGTCGCTCTCGCGCCGCACTGCCCTTTAGGACCCATTGCTCTCGCAGCCAATATTCAGATCGCGGCGGCTTGCTCAAATCATGTCATTCAAGAAATGAGCTTGGGTATCCATTACAATGTTGGCGGGCAAGATCTTACGAGTTACACAACCAATCCAGAGGTCTGGAAGGTAACCGGTGGTTATATTGATTTGATGAAGGGTCCAGGACTTGGCATAGATATTGACGAGGAGCAAGTACGTAGACTTTCTCAAGGAGCAGAGCCTTGGGTGAGCCCGGGGTTCATTGGCCCAGGCGGTGAGATTAGAGAATGGTAAAATACCTAGCTCACAATATGATATTTCAATTCCTCCAACCAATAATTATTCATTGTTCTGGAAATATCGAAAGAATGGGCATTTCCGTATGTAAGCTCGGGAAAGGTAAGAGTAGAATACTGTAGCCATCCGAGCCAGGATTGTTCTGGATATGGATCTGCTAGCAGCCTAGCAAGTAATAGGTAATTTCGAAATTGCCGCTTCGGCCCAAAAGTGGGGATCCGACACCCCCTGTCATTTGCTTTAGCCGGAAAGCTCAACTTCCCCGCACCACCAGCTTTCAAATATCCGGACCAAAGACAATTCTATGAACCATTATCCTGCAGACCCCCTTCGGAAGTATTCTTCTATGTTTCGGATCTGAGAAAGTTTGCACTACGCAAATCATAATGACGGAAGCTCGACAATCACACACTTCGTTGAACTCTCCGCCAACAGCTGAGGTAGCTCATCCAAGGGATGAGAGCACAGAGACTCAACCGGCGCCCGCAGCAAAAAGACGGAAAAGGGATGAGACTGAGAGAATACGTGTAAGTCGAGCTTGCGATCGTTGTAAAAGGTAAGATGCTTTAACCCCACATTTTGCGGAAAAGACATCTCACAAATGCATTTCAAAGAAAAAAGACAAGATGCAGCGGAAATCAACCTTGCAATCTCTGTACAACTGCTGGCTTGATCTGTGAGTTCACAGCAGCCTATAGGCGTGGGAGAATACCTCCAATAACGACAGAGAAAGAACACCTTGAACATCTCGCAGGTATTTCTGAAAATGCCGAAAGTTCTACCAGTGTTGAACATGAACACGTGATTGAAGCTGCCAAACCTTTCCCAAATCATCACAATGCGTTCCATAGCCAATTGAGCGGAGATTTTGCCAGTATCCCACATGATGTAGCGATAGCTGCATCAACATTGGCCCGGCTCCAGCCTACTATCGCTGAGAACTCGAACCCAATTTCGAGAATGCAATCATCTCGGAACTCACCAGAGCCTCCGCAAACTGACCTCCAGGGACACTACGTGGGTCCTTCCTCTGGGGCCTCTTTTCTATTGAGAGTGCAGAAGAAGTTACACCGAGAGATCACACTCTCCCAGGATTCATCAATATTCACATTTGGGGATGCTCCCCTACCAGAATTTGACCCTTCCTTTTTCGTACTTCCCCCAAAATCCGACGCCGAGAATCTTGTTGCAAGATACTTTGATTTTGCAGTTCCGACCCATCGCTTTCTACATCGCCCAACTATTGAACTCTGGGTACATGAATTTTACGATAATCTGGGAACTTTTCAACGGAAAAGCGGTGCCAAAGGACGAACGGCTCTTTTATTTATGGTTTTTGCTCAAGCAAGAGACTACATGCCTGGCGTTGGCAAACAGAATGATGTTGATACGAGGTAAATACTGCGAGATGCTTAATGATTAAGAGTTAAATTTTTTCATGAGAGGCTTTCGGCTCTTTAATTGGCCAAATCACTCTCAATCGCACTCAAATATTGGATTTTTCTGGTCATTGAATTATGGTGGAGCATAGACAGCTTTCATATCCAGCCTGGAACTCCGAGGACTTGTATACTTTAAAAACGAATCAATCATCATTATGTTATTTTGTTCAAGCTAACAATACTTTAGTTCCCGATACTTCCACGCCGCTGATCGTCAACTGACATCTGAAACTGGAGGAGTGCTTTTAACTAGTGTTCAAGCTCGTCTGTGTCAATGCTTCTATCTCTTATCACAATCAAGGGTCAACCATTGTTGGAGCTTATTCGGAACAACGGCTCATCTGATCCTCGCTCTCGGTATCCATCGCAAGAGACGTTTAGAGTCTCACAATAATGTGGATATGATCGAACTAGAATGCAGAAAGCGAGTTTTTTGGTGTGCATACACACTGGATAATTATCTAAGCGCAGCTCTCGGAAGACCTCGAACTTTTCACGATGATGATATAGATCAAGTGAGCTATCCCTATATCAGGCTGACAATCGCGATTACCCCATAAGATTCTAAGACCTCAATTTAGGAACTCCCGAGTTGTGTAAATGACTCTGATCTTACTTCAAGACACGTTCACGTCAATAAGTCTAGAGCCCAATCTATCATGATGGCACCTATTGCTCATGGAATGTAAGCGTGAGAATCTCAATTTTGTATTTGCAAGCTCACTTCTCTACAGGCTGTCCCAGATAATCAGTCATATTCTTCGCGATCTGTATTCCATTCGTCCACCATCTTCCACTATCCGTCTTTCTTTAGCAGACCAGTATTGCAAAAATCTTCAAGAGTGGCGCACGAAGTTCACTGGGTTTTTAGATGCTAAGGGTGTAGATACGTCTTTATTGATACCTCTATTCCAACGTCAAAGAAATGTCCTGAATCTCTCATATTGGCATGCACTAATTTTAGTTCATCGACCCTTCTTATTGCGAGATTTTGCCAGTCTTCATAAAAGAAACTCGTACCATTCTAGAGAAACTTCAACCGGCAACTCCGTGGACAAAAATGTCTTCAATTGTTTACAGGCAGCAATGGAAATCACTAACATCGTTAATCATTTGACGGAGGCCGGCCAACTGTACCAAGCATTTTGGGTAAGTGCCATTCCTAATAACTCTATAGCAATATCCTGACTCGAATAGTTCACTCATTATTTCGCATTCTGTGCGGTGGTTGTGCTATACGTATACACGATACAACACCGCTATCATCCTCGAGAGCAATATATCAAATACTTTGAGGCTGCTGTTCGCTGTCATTCCCAGATTTCGTCTAAAGCCAAAAATGAATCATTGGCACAGAGATATAGTGTAGTGCTGGAAGAACTTAGACTAGAGGCTATCACATACCCCCAAGGACAAGGTGTAAACCACGGATCTCATGCTACCCAGACCGAGCGCGGTTCCCATTCAAGCCGTGAAAGTCTTGTCACTGTACCGAATGCGGTCCACGAATATGGGAATGGCGGAATTGCAGTAGCACGTTCAATTGACGGAGCCGATGGCGATTATATCGAGTCAAGTCCTTCTGTGACTATGGATCCTCTCACTGGCTGGGGCCAATTTGATTCTTTGGTACGTTCTTACATAGAATCTCAATGGAAACTATGCTTACTTCATAGGTTACTGGCGGCGTGGGTGGCTTCGACTTCATGTTTCCAGGAGATCAAAATGATCAATGGGACACGGGAATGGGTAATAATTCCGGATATTAGTTTATCATCACGCTTCTCATACGCGTCCCCACTCCAAGAATAACCCGTGATTCGTTGTTTTCCTAGTTCCGGATCTCGGATATGCACCTGGGGCACGGATAATTGTGTAGGCTATGCAGTGCAGCTCAATACCCCTCCAAGGAAAAATATTCCTCCAGTCATATATAGCGCTATGATGCATCCGGGCAGGAAGCCTCATCAAACAGAGAACACACACGGCTGCATGCCATTCTTCTTGTCCCTTTATAATTCAGACAATTAAGAACCATGTCGGCCATAGTCGAGACTAGAGCGTTTACAGCACCACATGAGAGGTTAGAAAATTCGTCTCAACCCGCGAAGACTATACCTAGCCGGCTTCTATACACTGTCGACGACTTGATTTACAACCGAAGTCAGACTATTCCAGATGTCCCTCTATTAGCATATCCCGGTAGCCTGAAGGGTCGATCGGACTATGTTCATTACACGGCGAGGGATCTCGATCGATTCGCTGACCATGGTGCAAATGCGTACTCATCACTTGGTCTCATTCCCAGTGTTAGTATGCAAATCAACTGTTAGGGATTTATTCTAATAGGAACGCAGTCATCAAAAAGTCCTGTTGCAGAAGTCGTTGCGCTTTTAGCACCGTCAAATCTTGATTATGTCGCTACCATCTTTTCCTTATCACGCCTGGGTTTCGCAGTTCTGTTGCTTTCTAATCGACTAGCACCAGAAGCATACATCTCTCTTCTGCAAAAGACAAAATGTAAGCGAGTTGTCAGTTCAGATAATCACCACGACGTTATCAAATTGATTCAAGTTGAGCTGGAAGTATCTCAGTATCCCTTGCTGAGACAGTCTCAATATGATATCAAAGCTCCGTTGACCCCACGATTTCCTCGATCTGTGGGAACTGCCTTGGATTCAACGCGTAATTCATTCATAATCCATTCATCGGGTTCAACAGGGCTTCCAAAACCAATCTTTCAAACACATGCGGCTTGTCTATCCAACTACTCCAACAGTTTCGGTTACCGGGCATTTTTGACATTGCCTCTGTATCATAACCACGGATTATCATCATTCTTTAGAGCGATCCACTCAGAAAAGGAGATTTCTATGTTCAATGCCAACCTGCCATTGACGGGAAAGAATTTGATCGAAGGAATGGCTGCAGTAAGACCTGAAAGTTTTCATGGTGTACCTTACGCTTTGAAGCTACTCGCGGAGTCCGAAAGTGGAATCGAAGCTCTGAGAAGATGCAAATTAGTCTTGTTTGGGGGAAGTAGCTGCCCGGATGATCTTGGAGACCGCTTGACACAAGCTGGAGTTTACTTAGTTGGTCATTACGGCGCGTAAGTTTTAGGAGCTTCATCTAGAACGACAAATTCTAACCAAGCATACAGTACCGAGATAGGGCAGCTCATGACTTCTTTTCGTCCACGAGAAGATACAGCATGGAACTATGTCAGACCTTTACCATCATGTGTACCATACATTCAAATGGTGCAACAATCAGAGAACACATTCGAATGTGTGGTATTAGATGGTTTACCGTCAAAAGTCACCTCAAATTCTCAAAGTCCTCCAAATTCGTTCAAAACGAGTGATTTGTTTACCCCTCATCCTTCAATACCAAATGCATGGAAATATCTTGGACGGTTAGATGATCGTGTTACGCTTGTCAATGGCGAAAAAGTCCTCCCGATCACATACGAGCATCAGATTAGAGAGCATGAATTGGTAAGAGAAGCGTGCGTGTTTGGCGTTGGCCGAGCATTTCCTGGGTTGATCATCGTTC